ATTTGAGAATGGCATCGATTTCAGTTCTGTGATAGAAATGTGCTCTGGCCACACCTTCTTGATTCATCACCAGTCTTTTTTATTCTTTCTTTCTTTTTTTTTTTTTTTTGAGGTGGACTCTTGCTTTGTCGCCCAGGCTGGAGTGTAGTGGCGTGATCTTGACTCACTGCAACCTCTACCTCCAGGGTTCAAGCAATTCTCCTGCCTCAGCCTCCCAAGTAGCTGGGACTACAGGCATGTGCCACCATGCCTGGCTAATTTTTGTGTCTGTGTGTGTATATGTTCTTTTCAGTCTTAAGGTTATACCTGAATTTTTGTGTTTTTTGTTTTTTCCCCTTGTATGTGATAAATTGCTTTTCTCTTGGTGCTTTCAAAATTCTCTCTTTGCATTTGTCTTTCTTTCTTTCTTTTTTGTTTGTACTTTGGGCTCTGGGGTACATGTGCCATCCTGCAGGATTGTTGCGTAGGTACATGCATGCCATGGTGGTTTGCTGTCTCCCATCCCCACCAATGTCGTCTACATCAGGCATTTCTCCTGGTGTTATTCCTCCCCATCCTCCCTGCCCCCCCACATCCCTCCCCTCCCCTCCACCCCCCCCACCTATCCCTGTGAGTGTTGTTCCCCTCCCTGTGCCCAAGTGTTCTCATTGCTCATCACATGCCTGTGAGTGAAAACATGCGGCATTTGGTTTTCTGTTCTTGTGTCAGTTTGCTGAGAATGATGGGTTTCTAGATTCATCCATTTCTCTACAAAGGACATGAACTCGTCGATTTTTATGGCTGCATAGTATTCCATGGTGTGTATGTGTCATGTTTTCTTTGTCCAGTCTATCATTGATGGACATTTGGATTGGTTCCAGGTCTTTGCTATTGTAAACAGTGCCACAAGGAACATACATGTGCATGTGTCTTTACAATGGAATGATTTATAATCTTTTAGGTATATACTCAGTAATGGGATTGCTGGGTCAAATGGTATTTCTATTTCTTGGTCCTTGAGGAATTGCCGCACTGTCTTCCACAATGGTTGAACTAATTTACACTCCCACCAACTGTGTAAAAGTGTTCCTTTTTCTCCACATCCTCTCCAGCATCTGTTGTCTCCAGATTTTTTAATAATCACCTTTCTAACTGACGTGAGATGGTATCTCAATGTGGTTTTGATTTGCATTTCTCTAATCACCAATCATGATGAGCATTTTTTCATATGTTTGTTGGCCGCATATATGTCTTCTTTTGAAAAGTGTCTGTTCATATCCTTCGTCCACTTTTGAATGAGTTTGTTTGTTTCTTGTAAATCTGCTTTAGTTCTTTGTAGATTCTGGATATTAGCCTTTTGTCAGATAGGTAGATGGCAAATACTTTTTCCTATTCTGTTGGTTGCTGGTTCACTCTAATGACTGTTTCTTTTGCTGTGCAGAATCTCTGGAGTTTAATTAGGTCCCATTTGTCTATTTTGGCTTTTGTTGCCATTGCTTTTGGTGTTTTAGTCGTGAAATCCTTGCTTATGCCTATGTCCTGAATGGTATTGCCTAGGTTTTTTGCTAGGGTTTTTATGGAGTTAGTTCTTATGTTTAAATCTTTAATCCATCTGGAGTTAATTTTTGTGTAAGGTGTAAGGAAGGGGTCCAGTTTCAGCTTCCTGCATATGGCTAGCCAGTTTTCCCAATACCACTTATTAAACAGGGAATCATTTCCCCATTGCATGTCAGGTTTGCCAAAGATCAGAGGGATGTAGATGTGTGGCATTACTTCTGAGGCCTCTGTTCTGTTCCATTGGTCTATATCTCTGTTTTGGTACCAGTACCATGCTGTTTTGATTACTGTAGACTTGTAGTATAGTTGGAAGTCTAGTAGCTTGATGACTCCAGCTTTTTGTTTTTTTTTTTTTTTTTTTTTGCTTAGGATGGTCCTGGCTATGTGGGCTCTCTTTTGGTTCCATAAGAAGTTTTAAGTGTTTTTTTCCAGTTCTGTGAAGAAGTTCAATGATAGCTTGATGGGGATAGCCTTGAATCTATAAATTACTTTGGGCAGTATGGCCATTTTCACAATATTGATTCTTCCTAAGCATGAGCATGGAATGTTTCTCTATCTGTTTGTGTCCTCTCTTATTTCCTTGAGCAGTGGTTTGTAGTTGTCCTTGAAGGGATCTTTTACCTCCTTGGTTAGTTGTATTCCTAGGTATTCTGTTCTCTTTGTAGCAGTTGTAAATGGGAGTTGCCTTATGATTTGGCTCTCTGTTTGTCTGTTATTGGTGTACAGGAATGCTTGTGATTTCTGCACATTGATTTTGTATCCTGAGACTTTGCCGAAGTTGCTTATCAGCTTAAGGAGGTTTTGGGCTGAGGCGATGGGGTCTTCTCAATATATGATCATGTTGTCTACAAATAGGGACAATTTGACTTCTTCTTTTGCTAATTGAATGCCCTTTATTTCTTTTTTTTGCCTAATTGCTCTGGCTAGAACTTCCAATACTATATTGAATAGGAGTGGTGAGAGAGGGCATCCTTCTCTAGTGCCAATTTTTAAAGGGGAATGCTTCCAGTTTTTGCCCATTCAGTATGATATTGGCTGTGGGTTTGTCGTAAATAGCTTATATTATTTTGAGATACATTCCATAGATACCTAGTTTATTGAGAGTTTTTCACATAAAGGGCTGTTGAATTTTGTGGAATGCCTTCCCTGCATCTATTGAGATAATCATCTGGTTTTTGTCTCTGGTTCTGTTTATGTGGTGAATTACATTTATAGACTTGTGTATGTTGAACCAGGCTTGCATCCCTGGGATGTAGCCTACTTGATCGTGGTGAATAAGCTTTTCGATGTGCTGTTGGATTTGGTTTGCCAGTATTTTATTGAAGATTTTTGCATCAATGTTCATCTGGCACTTGGAGGCTACAGAGAGCCATGATTGCACTACTGCACTCCAGCCTAGACAGAGTGAGACCCTGTCTCAAAAAAAAAAAAGGTAAATCAAGGTGGACTCATGAGAGGGGAGTACATTTTTAAGACTAAAGTTTTTAATTAGGGGCTCTATATTATTTTTATAGGTCTAATTATATCTAATATCCAATAATTTCTTTAACTCTGTATCCCAAGGGTGTGATGGAGGTCTGACTTAGATTCAGATCTGTGAAGTACTGGGCTGCAGCATTGCTGCCAGCATTGCTCCCCTGGAAAGTTGACCCTTGCTCCACTCTGAACTCCACATTTGCCCCAGCCATTGAAGTTCATAGAATATCATAGGGATGAAGTGCATTCCATGGGGGCATTTTTTTAACCCTTTTTTTTTTTGAGATAGGGTCTCGCTCTGATGCCCATGTTAAGAGTGTGGCGGGTTGATCACGGCTTACTGCAGACTTGACGTCTTGGGCTCCAGCGATCCTCTTGCTTCAACCTCATGAGTAGCTGAGACTATGGGTGCACACCTCCATGCCCAGCTAATTTGTAAAATTTTCTATACAGAATGGGTCTCACTATATTGCCCAGGCTGGTCTCAAACTCCTGGGCACAACCATCCTTCTGCCTTGGCCTCCCAAAGTGCTGTGATTACAGGTATGAGCCACTGTGTCTGGCCCTCATTTAGTTCATTTTTACAACTTTTTTGAAAAGATCATTCATTTCAGATAGATGAAAATTTTATTTGGAAACTTCCAAAGAATAATATTGCTCAAACAACCCACTGCTTTATTCCATTTGCTATAAAAGACAAATAAGGCCAGGTGCAGTGACTCACACCTGTAATCCCAGCACTTTGGGAGGCCAAGGTGGGTAGACCACAATTTCAGGAGTTCAAGACCAGCCTGACCAACATGGTGAAATCCTGTCTCTACCAAAAATACAAAAATTAGCCAGGCATGGTGGTGTGCACCTGTAATTCCAGCTACTCAGGAGGCTGAGGCAGGAGAATTGCTTGAACTCAGGAGGTGGAGGTTGCAGTGAGCTGAGATGGCGCCACTGCACTCCAGCCCAGCCTGGGTGATAGAGCAAGACAAATAGATCATGTTCAGAATTCCTTATGCTATGGCATAAGTTGGTTTCCTTAGTGGACATTCAGGCCACATGATCATTATCCATTTTTGATTAAAGCCTGAATTTTTTATTTTCTTCCTAAATTTTATGTGGATAGTCCTGGTAATTTTTATTCCGTTTCTGTACTCCTTTGAAACTTAGGTAGAAGGAAGTGACTTCATAAAAAGTCTTGGAATTCGGTCTTCTGATAGCAGAGAGCATTAAGTGGAAGCAGAATTTTAGATTTGGGACCTGTTTGTAGATTTGTCACTCCCTCTGATGGGCTATATGGCCATGAGTAAGTCACTTCACCTCTCTGGTCTTGATTTCCTTCCTTCCTTCCTTCCTTCCTTCCTTCCTTCCTTCCTTCCTTCCTTCCTTCCTTTCTTTCTCTTTCTTTCTTTCTTTCCTTCCTTCCTTCCTTCCCTTCCTTTCTTTCCTTTCCTTCCTTCCTTCTTTCCTTCCTTTCTTTCCTCCCTCCCTCCCTCCCTCCCTCCCTCCCTCCCTTCCTTCCTTCCTTCCTTTCTTCCTTCCTTCCTTCCTTCCTTCCTTCTTAAAGATGGAGTGTTGCTCTGTTGCCCAGGGTACAGTGCTGTGGTATAATCTCAGCTCACTGCAAACTCCACCTCCCAGGTTCAAGTGATTCTCCTGCCTCAGCCTCCTGAGTAGCTGGGACTACAGGTGCCTGCCACCACACCCAGCTAATTTTTGTATTTTTAGTAGAAACAGGGTTTCACCATGTTGGCCGGATTGGTCTCAAACTCCTTACCTCAAATGATCCACCTGCCTTGGCCTCTCGAAGTGCTGGGATTACAGACATGAGCCACCATGCCCAGCTATGGTTTCCTTACGTATGAGTGAGGTACCAAGACTGCGGGATCTAAGTGGTTCCTTTCAGTTTGAAACTTCTGGTTTTTACATGGTAACCCTCCTGCAGGACTACATTGATTAAATCTGTGCTGTAGCTAAAAGATGATCTTTTGTTACAGAATTTTTTGTTACCTTCTTATGTGGAGAAATCTCCAGCTGCTCTAATGATAGCCTAAGAAGACTGCGTGCTGTTTCCTCTCGATGCCAAGCCAGGCCTGCCCAGAACCTCGAATCTCAGTCCCTCATGGAGACCAGGTCCCAGCAGGAATGGCAGTGCAGGAAATTGGCACCCAGATGGTTCTTCCACGTGAAGTTGTCTCGGACTCTGGGCTGACGAGAGAACAGCCGGTAACCAGGTTAGCCCTCTGTCGATCACCCAGGGCGGGGCAGCATGGTGCGGATTCAGAGGAGGAGGCTTCTGGCATCTTGCTTGTGCATCACAGCCACCGTCTTTCTGCTTGTCACACTCCAGGTACCAAGAATGTGGGTTGTGTACTGTTGATAGCTGGGCCTTTGCCACATCCCTTCCACCCCCTATTTTCTCAAAACTCCACGTCTTTCACTTTTAGCTGAACCCTTCAGGATCAGCGGTTTTCTTTTCTTTCTTTCTTATTTTTTTTTTAGACACAGTTCCACTCTGTCACCCAGGCTGGAGTGTAGTGGCGCGATCTCTGCTCACTGCAATCTCAGCCTCCCAGGTTCAAGCGATTCTTGTGCCTCAGCCTCCCGAGTAGTTGGGATTACAGGTGCCTGTTACCATGCCTGGCTACATTTTTTTTTTTTTTGTATTATTAATAGAGACTGAGTTTCAGCATGTCGGCCATGCTGGTCTCAAACTCCTGATCTCCAGTGATCTGCCTGCCTCAGCCTCCCAAAGTGCTGGACTTACAGGTGTGAGCCACCATGCTTGGCCAGGATCAGAAGTTTTCTACTTGGAGGAAGATGCCTCCCAGTTTTCGTCCCAGTAAAACACCTCTGGCTGGGACACCCTTCCAATCCACCCCCTGCCCCTCTTTTTTAAACAGGTGAAACAGGTTTAGTGAATGGCTGTGCCAGGCAGAAACAAAGTCGTTGAGATAGAAGGTGAGTTTGAGAGTCTTGTAGGCTCCTGGTTGTAGAGAAACAGAAAGTAAGACTCAGTCTGCTTTCCTGGATCAAAATTAGATGACTTCCTCAGAATCTCCTATTGTTACCACTTTTGAAAAACTATTCTTGAAGAAGCAAGGACTATTCTGAGAGCAAGATAGTTTGTATCTTGCAGTAAATGCAGAGTACAGGCATCTGTGTTAATGCATGTGTCAGCGACTGTGTATGGATGAATGAACCGAAACGTTTGCTTAGTTCTCCCACCTGCATCCCTTAGTGAATTATTCCGAACTTCCTTCACTGATTCCCCCTTCCTTCCTTCCTTCCTTCCTTCCTTCCTTCCTTCCTTCCTTCCTTCCCTCCTTCCTTCCTTCCTTCCTTCTCTCTCTCTCTCTCTCTTTCTCCCCCCCCCCCCCCGACTTCCTCCTTCCCTTCCCCTCGTCTCCTCTCTTTTCCTTTTTCCTTTTTTGCTCTGTTGCCCAGGCAGGAGTATAGTGGCATGGTCTCAGCCATGCCCAGGAAGCGCCCTCCGTGGCTGACTGGTAGAGCAGTTAAATATAGAAATGTAAATGTGCCTTACTTTTTACTGCTTTGTTTGTTTCATAGTCTGACTACTAAACTTTCAGTTACATATGGAGCAGTTCAACCCTTTCTCTAGCATATTTCTTTTTTTGTTGTTTTTTAATAGAGATGGGGTTTCACCGTGTTAGCCAGGATGGTCTCGATCTGACCTTGTGATCTGCCCACCTCTGCCTCCCAAAGTGCTGGGATTACAGGCGTGAGACACTGCGCCTGGCTTCTCTAGCATAATTCTATAATTAGTGCCATATCAATTATCATATTAATATCAATTCTTGTTTTTTTTTCTTGAGATGGAGTCTTCCTTTGTTTCTAAGGCTGGAGTATAGTGGTGCAGTCGTACCACACTGCAGCCTTGAACTCCTGGACTCAAGCGATCCTCTAGTCTCAGCCTCCCGAGTAGCTGGGACTAAAGGTGCATGCCACCATGCTCAGCACAATACCAAATGTTAAAATTTGATGAAAATGCCAGGCGTGGTGGCTCACACTTGTAATTCCACGCTTTGGGAGGCAAAGGCGGGTAGATCACAAGTTCACAAGTTTGAGACCAGCCTGGCCAAGACAATGAAACCCCGTCTCTACTAAAAATACAAAAAATTAGCTGGGCACGGTGGCGCGTGCCTGTAATCCCAGCTACTCAGGAGGCTGAGGCAGGAGAATTGCCTGAATCCAGGAGGCGGAGGTTGCAGTGAGCCGAGATCGCGGTATTGCACTCCAACCTGGGTAACAAGAGCGAAACTCCGTCTCAAAAAAAAAAAAAAAAAATTTGATGAAAGGCAGCACTTTTGGAGTTTCTCCTACACCCACCCTGCCCTTCAGATGACTGTTGCTGATGTCCTGGCTGTCCAGTGACCCGGACTTAGATTATCCTGGAATAAATTTAAACATGCAGTTGTGAGTGGAAGCCCAGTACTCTGGTGTGCCATGTGGGTAACACAGACTCTAGGGAATTTTGACATCAGGCATTATTTCACCATCCCAATGCTATAGTGAACATTACTAGAAACATAAAACCCACGTTATGACTCCTTTAATTGTAATAAAGAAACCAGTTGGTAATTTATAACTCACTTTCCCTAGAGTGCATTTTCTAGTAGTAGTCAGGTAATAATCCTGTCAGAGGTTTCATTAAGAGCCAAAATTATTTCTAGATATCCTACTGACTGAAGAAATGGAGGGGAAATGTATTTGTTTTAAGTGTTTAGTAGAATCACTGACCATTCTTGTTGGTTGATATTTGGAGGCTGTGTCCACTCCCTGATCCCTGGAACCTGTGAATATGTTACTTTAGGTGGCGAAAGGGACTTTGCAGATGGGATCAGTGTGACACACTTTGAAATGGGGGAGATTATCCCAGATTATTCATGTGAGCCCCATGTAATCACAAGTTCTTAAAGATGGAGCCTTTCCTGACATGGTCAGAGAGAAGAGGTGACATCAGAAGAGTCAGAGAGATGTAGTGTTGCTGGCTTTGAAGAGGAGGAAGGAGGACATGAGTCAATGGTGGTGGCTCTAAAAGAAAAGCAAGAAAGAGGCTTCTCTCCTAGAGTCTTCAGGGAGGATTGCAGTCCTGCTGACCCCTTGATCTTAGCCCAGTGAGACCCATTTCAGACCTCTGACTTCAGAACTATGCGATAACAAATTTGTGATTGATTGATTGATTGATTTTCGAGACAAGATCTTGCTTAGTTGCCCAGGCTGGAGTGCAGTGGTGCAGTCATAATTCACTACACCCTCTAATTCCTGGGCTTAAGCAATCCTCTTGCCTCAGCCTCCTGAGTATCTGGGACTGCAGGCATGCTTCACCATGCCTGACCAATTCATTTTTTCTTTTTTTTTGACATGGAGCTTCACTCTGTTGCCTAGGCTGAAGTGCAGTAACGCGATCTTGGCTCACTGCTCTGCTTCCTGAGTTCATATGAGTTGATTCTCCTGACTCAGCCTCCCAAGTAACTGGGATTACAGGTGTATGCTATCACCACACCTGACTGATTTTTGTATTTTTTAGTAGAGTCTAGGTTTCACCATGTTGGCTGGGCTAGTCTCGATCTCCTGGCCTCAAGCGGTCCTCCCAACCTGGCCCCACCATATACTGACATTACAAGTGTAAGCCGGTGCACCTAGCTTAAATTTGTGTTGTTTTAAATTACCGTTTGTGGTAAATTGATACAGCAACAACTGAAAACTAGTAAGAGGCTCAGTCGTCAAGATGAATGAGAGATGTACAACAGGAAATCACACAGTTTGACCCTGGAAATAATTGTCTTCTCTTTTAGGTCATGGTTGAGCTGGGAAAGTTTGAAAAGAAGGGGTTTCAAAGTTCCGGTTTGCAAGATGGACATACAAAAATGGAAGAAGCACCTGCACATCTTAATGCGTTTCTTAAGAAAGAAGCATTGACCTTCAACAGGAAAAGAAAATGGGAACTGGACAGCTACCCCATTATGCTCTGGTGGTCCCCGCTGACGGGGGAAACCGGGAGGTTAGGCCACTGTGGAGCAGACGCGTGTTTCTTCACCATCAACCGGACCTACCTGCATCATCACATGACAAAAGCGTTCCTCTTCTACGGTAAGCGGGGCTTTTGCCTTTCTCCCTTTGTTTGCTGTGATCTTACTCCAAAGCTGAGTTACAGCTTACCACTGAAAAGTGATGGTGGAGCTTCCCTTGAAAACACGTTGACACCCCTGATTTCCTTTGCGTCTGCCTGTGGAATGCCAGAGCATCCAGCAGACACAATAAAGAAACAAGCCTGGCTGGGCGTGGTGGCTTCTGAATTCTCTAACACATTTCCGAAGGGTTGGGTAAGAGATTATGATCCTAAAGTTGTCATCTGAGATCAAGCAAAGTTAAATGTTGAGATTAATATCCCAAGTTTTAACAGAAGCTTCTAGAAAAATTTGAGTTATATACACAAAAAATACAGATAATAAAAGGGGCATTTATGTACCTATCACCTAGCTTAAGATATAAAATATTACATGTATAATTGAAAATCTGTATGAGCCCCTCTCTGACCTATCCCATTTCCCTCCCTGATACTCTGGAGGGAATCATGATGTGCGTGTATGTGTGACAATATAAGTATTTTATTTAGATATGTAGGAGTTATATATACATGTGTGTTAAAATTTTTTAAATGCTTAAAACTTTTTAAAAAGTTTTTAAAAGGTTTAAGTGTTTTAAATGTTGACTGTGGTACAACCACTTTAGATATTGGTTTGGCAAGGTCTAGTAAATGTGAATTCATACTAATAATTCCACTACTGGGTTTCTAACCACGTGAAATCTCACATATATACATGGATTGTTCATTAGGACATTGTTCGCCATAAGCAAGGCTTTTAAAGTAAACTAAATGTCCAATAACAGAAAAATGATTAAATGAAGTGTAATATATACATTCAATGGAATATTATGCAATGATGAAAATGAACTGGAGCTATGAGCATGTAACTGATAAATCTCAAAACTAAGTTACAGATAGAAAGTTACATATAACACTACTCTACATCATTTATGTTATTGTTAGAAATCTGTAGTAGAAATTTAAGAACGTGATGCTACTTCAGGAAAAACAACCAGTTGTACACACATATACATATGTAAACACATGGATACACATATACACATATACATTCACATGTATACATGCATATATACACACATATGTACTGATAGGTTTGGCTGTGTCCCCACCCAAAGTGTCATCTTGAATTGTAATCCCCATAATCCCCACATGTCAAAGGCAGGACCAGGTGGAGGTAATTGGATCCCCCATGCTGTTCTCATGAAGTGAGTGAGTCTCATGAGATCTGGCATTTCCCCTGCTGGCACTCACTCCATCCTGCTGCCCTGTGAAGAAGGTGCCTGTTTCTCCTTTGTCTTCTGTCATGATTGTAAGTTTCCTGAGGCTTCCCCAGCAATGCAGAACTCCGAATCAATTAAACCTCTTTCCTTTATAGATTACCCGGTCTGAGGTATTTCTTCATAGCAGCGCGAGAATGGACCAATGCAGTATACACACATATATGTTCACACACACACATATACACATATACATACATACACACATATACACATGTAGACACATACACATGTATACACATATACATATGCATTTATGCATGCATGTACACAAATACACACACCTGTATGCACACATGCACATACACACATGCACACGTGTGTGTGTATGTTTACATACGTGCACACATGTATATACATATACACACACACTGTAATTTATATATACATATACAGGTTGAACATCGTAAATCTGAAAATTTGAAATCTGAAATGCCCCCAAATCCAAAACTTTGAGCACCAACATGATGCTCAAGGGAAGTGCTTATTGGAATATTTTGGATTTCAGAATTTCATATTTGGGATGCTCAATAGTATAATGCAGGTATTCCAAAATTAAAAAAAATAAAATGTCTGAAACACTCCTGCTCTCAAGCATTTCTGCTAAGGGATTCTCAGTCTGTATATATGTACCTACATGTATACACACACACTACAGACAGACACACACACACACACACACATCCTTTGTGTGTAATGTACTTTTTTGCTCCCCACTCCCTTCTCTGGAAGCAGAATCTTCTCTTTTTCACCAGTTTGGAAATTTAGCAATAACTGCTTTGGAGTGGGTCTGTATCCTTTCACTGAAGTGGGAACATAAATGTCTGGTTGCCAGGAAGCCTACTAAACAGTTTTTAATAACTTGGTGACTTTTCCAGGACTCACAGATCTACAGAGTCATGCACTTAATTATGTCAGCATGCTTAAGAGTTGTTTTTTTTCTTTCTGGGTTGGACTTATCTCGAACCAAATTCCAAGGAAACTAGTGTGTCAACCCGAATGCTCCTGGTTTGACCTTCCGTATTTCAGATGGAAGCATGGAGGGTCAAATTCCTTACTCTCCATTGCCTAAAACAAGCAGTGACTCTCTTGGAGAACCGAATATGCACTGTTTATTACCTTGGCATTGAAGGCTCTGTGTAATCTGACTCCAGCTTACCTTCCAAGCTTAACCCCTCTGATTCTATCAACTAAACCTTATGTTCAAAACTGAAACTGGAGTAGTCCCGATTTTAGGCATAAGCCACAAATATTTCTCACTTAGCATCATCGTTCGTTCAGTTCTGTCTCTTAGGCTACCCTTTTCGTATTTGTCCTGTCAGAATAATCTGCTGAATACCTTCCATTTCTTTGGCAATATAGATCAATAATATAGTTTCTGATGTCTAAGATTATTATCTTGAGAAAAAGTTATGACCCAACTGTAGCATAGGGGAGACGCTATGTACACCACAAGAGAAGTCAACAAGTCTTTGTGGGGTTTCAAAGACAGGAGAGAGCGCCTGCTATTGGAGGGATCAAGAAAGGATTCATAGGCCAGGCGCAGTGGCTCATACCTATAATCCCAGCACTTTGGAAGGTTGAGGTGGGCAGATTACCTGAGGTCAGGAGTTCAAGACTAGCCTGACCAACATGGTGAAACCCCGTCTCTATTAAAAGTATGAAAATTAGCTAGGTGTGGTGGTGAGCGCCTGTAATCCCAGCTACTTGGGAGGCTGAGGCAGGAGAATCATGTGAACCCGGGAGGCGGAGGTTACAATGAGTCAAGATTATGCCACCGCACTCCAGCCTGGGCAACAGAGTGAGACTCTGTCTCAAAACAAAACAAAACAAAAAAAACAAGTCAACTCACACCTACCTACAAACCATTCCTGATTACTCTCCAGCAGATGAAGCCGCTCTTCTCTAAATGACCACAGGACGTTTTATATCTCCTTTATGTCATTTTACTGAGTATCAACAATATATCAGGCACATTGCCAATCATGTATACAGGTAGCTATGGTGTTTTCTTCCCTGGTGGAGTGTAGAGTTCATGATCGAGCAACATCAGTTCATCTTTGTTTTTGCCACCCACTGTATATAGCACACTGCTTTGTACATGGTAGGTGCTCAGAAAATATTCATAGACACTTAGAGAATTGTTTTTTTTTAGAGTCTCACTCTGTCACCAGGCTGGAGTGCAGTGGTGCGATCTTGGCTCACTGCAACCTCTGCCTCCCAGGTTAAAGTGATTCTCCTGACTCAGCCTCCTGAGTAGCAGGGACCACAGGCGTGCGCCACCATGCCCAGATGATTTTTGTATTTCGAGTAGAGATGGGGTTTCACCATGTTGACCAGGATGGTCTTGATCTCTTGACCTTGTGATCTGCCTGCCTTAGCCTCCCAAAGTGCTGGGATTACAGGTATGAGCTACCATGCCCTGCTGAGACTTAGAGTCTTTGTGAATAGAGACCTATTCTAAACTCAAGAGTCTACCTTCTTTCTTGTCGAGCTGAGAGACTGAGGCTCTGGAGCCTTAGGGATGTGCCAGGATTGCAGTGGTTGGTACTACTGCAGTACACCAGTGGGGAAGCAAGACGCACTGACTCCTGACTATGTGCTCCTTCACCTATACCATATTCGTTGTTTGTTTGTTTGTTTGTTTGTTTTGGAGACAGGATTCCACTCTGTTGCCCAGGCTGGAGTGCAGTCGTGCAATCATAGCTCACTCTAGCCTCCAACTCCTGGCTCAAGTGTTGGCTTACGACTTTCTATCACATCAGCCGGGCGTGCTGGCTCGTGCCTATAATCCCGGCACTTTGGGAGGCCGAGGCAGGCGGATCATGAGGTCAGGAGTTCGAGACCAGCCTGACTAACATGGTGAAACCTCATCTCTACTAAAAATACAAAAATTAGCCGGACATGGTGGCATGTACCTGTAATCTTAGCTACTCATGGGACTGAGGCAAGAGAATTGCTTAAACCCTGGAGGTGGAGGTTGCAGTGGGCTGATTGTGCCACTGCACTCCAGCCTGGCGACAGAGCAAGACTCCACCTCAAAAAAAAAAAAAAAAAGACTCCATCACATCATAGGCTGGTGTTGAGGAGTCACTGGAGTCAGAATAACCTTTTGTTCTACCTCTGCCTCCCTAGTAACAGGAACTACAGGTGCTTGCTGCCACACCTGGCTAATTTTTATTTTTTTTATAGAGATTGGTGAGGGGGGAGGTCTTATAATGTTGTCCAGTCTGGTCTTGACCTCCTGGGCTCAAGCAGTCTCTCTGCCTCTCCCTCCCAAAGTATTGGGATTATAGGTGTGAGCCACTGCGCCTGGCCTAGACCACATTTGAATGGACACTCATGGCCATAATTAAACCTGAATATTTGGGTTTTGGAATTGGCTAACATGCCTGTTTTAACAAACAGAACTAGAAATTCAACTTATTTATAAGGTCTGTTGAGCAAAACAGAATGAAGACAGCACACTCTTCTGTCTGAGTGTTCCCAGTCCTAATGAAGTAGGCCAATTACAACTGGGAATGGGATTCTGGGACAGCAGGATTGAAAAAGAAAATGCTGAAACAATGATGAAGTATGGAAAGCTGACCTAATTAAGGGTAAAGGAAACTCACAGGATTGGTGACCTGGAAGCTTTGTAAACCAGAACATTCTAAATCTGGTTTGTTACCTTTGTAACCTCCTTTTTTCTTTCTTCCTAGAGA